GAGAATAATTTCCCCGAACGTCTACCTGTATAGTGTTCACAGATCGCTTGCACGTTTGTACTTCTACGAGGTAATAAACTTCGAGGAGAATTGAAAACAATCTTTTGTGTCGGTTTTCCTGTCCACTTACAAGCACCTACGCGAGTGCATTTGTTCTACGTGTTTTCTCCATGTTATAAATACGTTTATGAGTTTCGGGACGTCTTAAATATGTTTAAGATAACCAACCTCCCAGACGACACCCATTTAGGGCTAGCGCATAATTTGCCATTTCGAAGGGCACGTTCAGACGTGTGGTCACGTGCCATGTCGAACGGGTACTCGTACCATAGGGCACCCGTATCAAACGGGCACCTGTATCAAACGGGTACCGTTTCCAAACGGGTACCCGTATCCCATAATCACGTTTGATCCAAACGGATCGACAGGTTTAATTCAAACGGGCGACCAGTTTGCCACCCGTTTGAATTTCAAATGTTTTTTTTCAGTAGGGTAAGATAAAGACAGCGCCCCGAAAGGCCTGTAGAGATGCTGGAAAGGCTTACATGCAAAAATGTTCCAAACGCCGGGATTCATGATTAAAAACAAATACCTCCGACTTGCATAACAATATCAACATTTATGGGCAGCGGGGTGCCGAGGTGCGGAGCCCAAGGCGGGAACCCCGACGAAAGGAAGGGACGTCACACCAGCTCGGAGTTTTTGTGAAGACTGTCTTATACCCCTGTTACACGGGCACACTTAACCGCGGTTAACTCAGCTTAACTGCTGTTACGCGGCACCACAGATACCGCACTATACTCTCGGACAGCTATTCCATAAGAAGTGAAGAGCGCGCGTGCACTGCTTCGATGGATGATCAAAATGCTCAAGCGCACGTTCGCCCATAGCTTTGACTGCGTCGCCGCAGAATGTTGTCGGCAAATATTGTGCGCTAACTGCGGCTTAGCGTAACTGCAGTTAAGTGTGCCCGTGTAACAAGGGTATTATTGTCGTGACCAGCATACAAACATTCAGATCCGCGGGGATCAACCTTCCGCTCGCAGGGGCGGATGTCAATTCTCGGACCAGTGGCGCCATCTAGTTGCAGCGCCACACACCATGACTTCTTGCGCCATCTAGCTAGTTCATGGCACACTACACTTGAGTTTGTAGGAAACACAGCCACTTCGATCCGAGACAATCGATGATAGCGTTGGTGACATCACCAACTACGCGACTCACAGAGCACTGGAGAACACCAATGTTGGTATTGGTATTGGTATTTATTTGCGCTCGTGAACGCAGGCGTCACAGAAAGGCGTGTAGCCCGTACAATAATGATTGTGAGGCCCGTCTAGAGGGGGTGATTATGTTAGGGATTAATGAACAGTGAGGTATAATGAAGGGCGGGGCAGTGATGCACCGCGAGGGATGGGGCAGGGTTATGCGTGTGATCGCAGGTGTGCTCCAGCCTTGCCACAAAGTTCCAGTATTTCCGGTTTGTCACTCATGGGCATGCTGACAATTCTTGGTGGCAATGAACGCCATAATTGTACAGCGCAGACGAGGCATGAGTTCGCGTGGCGCTCAGTTCTTGCGAGCAGGGGCTCCAGATGACCGGTACGGTGGTTCCTGCGTGGGACTGTGATCAGGTAATCATCTTGGGGTATCCCTGGCCCAATGATGGTTGCTAAAAGTCTCAGGGTGGCCATGTCTCTCCTGGTAGCGAGGCTTGTCCATCCTGAGGTTCTGAGTAGCCGGCTCAGAACCTCAGGTTCTGAGCCATCTACTGTGTTTTCGTCTACAATGTTTTCGTCGCTCCCGGCGGTTCCCTGGAAGCCGCCAGCGGCGTAAAAGCGTAGAGCTGCCAGGACTTGTTGTTCGACCGTCAGCACACGGGGCCCTTCAAGAAAAGGCTGGAGCTTTCCGCGAAGCTGTTCACACAGCCAGCGAGTCACCCCTTTGGTCAGCCGGTATTCGCCCAGAAACCTCACATCGCTCATCTCGAAAGCATCCCGGTGATCTCTAAAAACTCGATCCGCTGGCGAATTCAACAGTAGAGATGCATATGTTAGGGTCGCCATTTTTTACGATGCAGATTGATCTTCGGCTTCGCATCGACCACTCAGTTAACTGCATCGTCAAAGTGAATCGTGACGACATTTTGACGTCACCACCAACTGCATCATTTTACGAGCATAGCTCGAACTGCATAGGGAAAAACTACATTTCAACGTCATGTCACGTGACCCGAGAGAAGAGCCAATCAGTACCCGATGCAGTTATCTACATCATTCAGTTTGCGTTCCAGCATAGATAGACTGGTTCGTAAAAAATTTAGGTTTTGCCATATCAATGGCAGATATGAACTTCTATCGGCACCGTCACTTTCGCAAGTCAACGGCACGCGAGGTATCTGGTGCGTGATCGTTTTATCTGCGCTGTCACCGTAAAATATGGTTCTCCAACTCGCCCAAGCATCTATCCTACGAAAATAGACGTTAGTTTCGGTTTCGCTCCAGAATTGAAACCTGCATCCTTGAATAAGTATTACGCAAAACACCGGCTTTTTTTTTTCTTTTTAGGGATAAAGAGGCGATTTGCGCTCGTAACACCCCAGCTCCCTCGTATTACCAGAAATAATTTGTGTCGCTCATTGAAGCCAGCACACTAGACAGGCTCAACAGTGGCAGGCATCTCCGACCCTCACTATGACCGCCATTTTGGAAGACGAGTGTCGACACCTAGGGTTGTTTGGAATCGCGAATAAAATTTGCGGATAAGTGTGGAGCGTGGCAACCGGACAAGAAAAGTCCCATTTTTTCGACAACGAAAAATATCTTCCTTTTATCAACGAAGGTCTACTTCGTCGTAGTGGAAGAGAAAAACACCTTTTGTGTACTTTCGGTTTAAACTATAATTACTTGTCCAGGGAAGCGAACAAAATTCAGGTTTGCCGTGGAACATGCTCCAACAGCCATTGAGAATGAGGTCTAGATGTTTTTTTTTTTTTTTAAAGTACGAGATTTGACCGGACAATTTTTTTAACTGTGCATGAAAAAGACGAAAACGTCTCGTGCCAGACTCCCGCTTTGGCTGCTTTGGCACGCACGGCACCTGCTGTTCCACTTCAGACGTCCATTGCTCTTGGCTAACATCCGTGTGCCCACCTCGCAGCAGCTTAGTGGACTCAAAAATGGAGAGCATCAGCCCACCTTCGGCAAACGCTAACAAGTACGAGGTAACCAGCGATAGTCCAATACCCTCCGGGAGTGCCTCCACCGGGACCACAGCCACCGATGGGACCCATTCCATCGAAGTCAGAGCCGTGCCCACATCGCAGAGCCATACGACACAGAAAGAATTGTATCTATTCCGGACACGAAGTGCATCAAGAAAAGAGAATCCGCCAGCTGAGAGGTGGCATTCGGTAGGTCCCGATCCCGCCCTTGCTCCGAGTGCAGTCCTTTTCAAACAAAACGTCTTCTCCAGTGAAGAGGAGTCAAACGGAGGAGAGATAGAAGGCGACAGAAGGTGCCAACAGATATGGTTCCTCTGCACCGCTAGTGTGGCAACCTTGTTGATTCCCATTGGCTTGGTCCTCATTGGATACCTCTCACACTCAGACAAGATTTCACCGAACAGCACCACAGCGGTTTTAATGACGCGTTCCCATGCTCGTCAAAAGACAACTATAAATCCCTTGTCAGCCGTCGAATTAAATTGTTCTGGTGCGGTGAGCCTGGACGACAATATCACCAATCTCTGCCGTGCTAACTCAACTTTTTCGATGCCACATACGAAAGACCTCCATTTTTTTTGTTTGTTTAACAACTCAAGGTTCCGCAAGAACGAAGACTTCCACTACCTCCCAGAGAATCTGCCGTTTGACCTCTGTCCATATGTCATCTATTGGTCAATGAGCATCGTTGATGGCCGAGTAAAAGTAGAGTTCCTGCATTTGACAGGCTGTACGGCATCTCAGAGCTGAAGAACACCAGCGATCGCCTCAGCGGAGGGAAAACCAGGGTTCTGATGGCCCTTGGCGGATATTCTGAGGAAAGTCCGCCATTCTCGAGGCTGGGCAGAGATTCCGTGGCCATGGACACACTAGTCGCCGACATCGTAACGATGATGGTCGACTTTCGCCTGGACGGACTCGCCATCCATTGGGTTTTGCCCGCAGGCGCCTGCCAGCCTCCTCATGTTTACAACACACTGTCAGACCTTTTCGGTAACGTGAAGAAGCTTTTGATTCTAAACAATCTACCAGCGCTGATGACGCTCATTCTACCCTACGGAGACATCGCAACCGTAGGCTCAATGTCGCCGGACCTGGTAGACTTTTTCTTCTTCATGACCCACCGGTTTCGACCGAACACCCGGCGTCATGACCTTTGTCAGTACGTCAAGAAGAAAACACTTGAGTTTCTCACAAGTATTCCTGGCTATCATCAGCATCAGGGAAAGCTCTGCGTCGGTATTTCCATGGCCGCCTTTCTCGTGGATCCGAATAATTTTAATCTTTTAACATCGACCCGCTTTCCCCATATACCGGGCAGGGCTCTGCTTTTCGAACGGTGCGAAGGAGGCCTACCAGTCGAATCCGCCTCGCAAAACTGCAGACTTTATATTGTTCCTAGGTCGAAGGATAATGTGGCAATACAATACGTGTACTTGTCAGCTGACTTGCTAAAGGATCTCCTACACGTGAACATTTCACAAGGAAGCTCTCGATGCACCCTTGTCGCTGACCTTGACTTCGAGATTTACAAGCCGGGCTGTTCAACCTTATACCCAACACTGACGAAGTTATACCAACAAGTGTGAATATTACACACCGACTAGCTTAATTAAGTAACCCTTTTAATAATTTAAAGCTTCCGTAGTTTTGTAGATATTTGCTTTTATCAGTAGAGGTATCTCTGCTCATACCATTAATAGAAATTTTTATCTGTCCCATACTGAAAGATTTCTTTGTTTTCCTGAGGATATACGAACCACTCCTCTTTATGTTTCTACTGCTTCTGATAAAATATAGATTCGGTACGAGAAATGTAGTGTTCTTTATGGGGCGTCTGTCCTTTTCTGGGTTTGTTGAAACATTTACCTCTCAAAAGAAACTGTTGCATGCGTTGGAAAATGATCGAGAGGAATCTTTTGTATATGTTGTATTTTTCTACAAAATAGTAGTTGTTGAATTGGTATTCAGATGGTTGCGAAATCCGTCGCTTTACCACAAGACGCGCATCCTTGTGGTAAAAATATTCATATGCTTTTGCATGGAGCCGTGCTTGGTCGTAGACATCCCAGGGGGAGGGAGGACCTTTTGTTCGGGCTACACAAACGTAGGGTGCCTTCATGTGCGCTTTGCTTAGAGTGGAGACATCTGGCCATTTTGTTCCCACTTTCACATTTATTTTTTGTTCAGAAGCGCGTGAAAGAGCGTGTCCCTGCACGCGTCTGTGGCGCTGACTGTGCTATGGCGACATTTTGTTTTCGTCGATTCTTTTGTATTTTCCCCGTGAGCGCGTGCTGTCGGCATCGGGTACTACAAAGAGTTTCATCACTCTAAACAGAAGGTCATTGAGGCACCCTACACAAACGCTCCCCGCCTTAGCGTGGGACCTCTTGGCAATTGGCGGTATTCTGTTCGCGCGTCGGCGGTCCCACGACGGCCATCTTGAACAAGCCATTAGTTCAACCACTAGATGGGGGCACTCATCCTTGTGGTGAGACAACAGGCTGGCGGCAGTGATGTTCCTCCTTTGTTCTTAATGTCCTCCTTTCTCCTGCTCGTGCTCGTTCAGCGCTCAGCGCGTGCTCCCGCTGACACAATGCCAGCAAACGTGTCAGTGGTGTTAGCAGTGCCCAGATCGCACAGAAGCGGAGCTTAGCTATGTCATCGACCCAATCGAGAGTGACTAGCTGGGCAAAATTCGTTCTTTGATACTGACTTTGTTCCGCGTTGCTCGGTTGACAAAGCGATTGCGTTAGAGTTTCACAAGTCGGTAGCTATCGTTTTAACAAATCAAGAATTAAAAAAAAACATAGTCAATCAATCAGTGAAGAATGTTATTAAAAAAAAATAAGACACGGCTTGTCAGCATTTTGTGAATGAAAGAGCTTTTGCACGACATAAACGTTTAAATTCATTTTTCCTGCAAGTCAGAGCGCAGCCGACATAACAGGGTCTCTAAACTCGTCGAACACAAAGTTGGGGCCGAAGTTGACGGAGCGCAGCGACTGGCCCAACACGACGATGACTTCGCGCCTTTTTCGACGACGTCCAATCGGGGCGCTTTGCGAACTTTCGGCCCCAACTATGTGTTTGACGAGTTTAAGACCCCTGGTCAAAGAGGCCAATGAAGCAGAGCCAGAAAACGCTATGTCACGGAGCTCAACGTCTTATAGTGCGTTTTGTGTTCCCGGTGCGGGTCGCCTGTCCATACCGCCCGACAAGGCCGAGTTCCCTTGGCCCCGAGGAAGTCACACGAGGAAGCGCCATCATAAAGAAAGGTTTAATTGATACTCAAGGTTCGAGTCCGAGGCGGATGTTGCGGTAGGCCAAGGCTGCCGGGTGGTCCGGGTCTCTGTTCGGATTCGCTGCTCGGCACCGGCTCTTCCGTATGTCTCTGCCTTCGGAATGCAGCTCATGTACACACCACGAGCTTCGCCCCTCCTTTCTCTTCGCCGCTCCCGGCGCCGTCGCTCCGCGTGCTGTGCCGCTCATTGTCCCCCACACCAGTCAAGGGAACCAAGCGCAAACCATGCACCATGGCCTTGCGCTTTTAGTATGCGTGTTTGTGTTTGTGTATCTTATAGTCGTTGACTGCATTTTGAGCTATGATAAAACAAGCAATAGTCCACTTTTTTTCAAGACGGGTGTTCAGCAGGGCGCTTTATATAACCCATCATTTTGATGGTAGTTTGATTAAACTTGATTGCCAATTATCTGACCTTATAAATAACCACCCCAATATTGTTGAAATAGTACGCCGAGGTCGAAGATTCTGCATGTTCAAGAAAACAGTAAGGATGTATTTTTGTGGCCTAAGTGACCTAAACTTAAAATTTGTTAGGAAAGTGGGTAGCAGATTTCAAAGTGCGTTTCATAATGCATTTGATATTTTTTTCATTAATAATAATGTATATTGATAATTTGATGTTGAACGAAATATACCAACGTCTTATATATACATATATATATATATATGTATATATATTCGACGGTGTACAGGACCAGTGTCCGCATAAAAAGCAATTATACATAAAATAATCCAATGGACACTAGCTAAGCATGACATACAATGTCAGCGTCCACCAAGACCCAGCATAAGACGACAACAGCGCTACTCTTTATCATTCGTCTGTACTGGTCACCTTGAGCTTTCAGAAAGCATGTTTTTGCGTAAAAACAAACGGAAAAGACTTTTTGCATAAAATTTATTGGAGTTTAGTACAGAATGAAGGACGCGTGATGTTTTTAGAAACTTTAGTTTGCAAGGGTTTGCGGCACAATTAATATTCTTTTTATACAACCACGCCTCAGCGGGGCTCTCAGGTAGCGCGTCCCGACCAAGGTCCATATTAACTTCGATAGTAAGACGCGGCGCGTCCGTCGGGGAGATGCGGGTGGCACCCCTGTCACCTCTTCCACTGTATCTGTTTCGGCGCCGAAATGGCCGATTAAAGACAATGTAGACGTCACGTGCAGTTCCTCGGGTGGCCACTGCGGGTGAACTGGCGGCGTTGTGTTCGCCATTAGCTCGGTGCTCAAGGACAGATCGGGGCCACTTTTTCAGGGCAGTCTCCATGGCAGTTTCCCAACTGAGTGGTTTAGTAACGCTGCTCAAGAGTAATGTCGATGCGCTACTTCAGCTTCCTGCAAAAGTCGAAGAGCTACTGGCCGTCAAATCCGCTCTAGACATCATAGAAAGGTCAATACCTGAGGTGTTGGAATCCATTGCTTTTCACTCAGCTCAGTACCACTCGTTTTTTAGAAAGTGTTTGAGAATGAGGCCACTGTGACTGAGCCGCGAACTGAGGTTGGGTCTTTAAAATCTAATTTATCAGCCCAGTCGCAGGAGACTTAGCTCCTTCGTGCTGAGGTCAATAACTCCGAGCAACTTCGTCGGCAGTCTAATCAAGAGATTCATGGAATTCCATGCAGACATACAAAAAAAAAAAACTTTCATCCTTAGTAGGTGACAACGCCCTGAAGATAGGCATACAAGATTTGCAGACCTCGGAAATTGATACGGTTCATCGCCTGACCTCTACTCAGGACCAGTTTCGCGTTACTGTGAATTTCTCGAAATCCCTAGTGGACGTTTGTCTTAACGGAGTCAAGTATACCAAAAGAACCGACTAATCAAATTTCACTGCCCGGCTACACAGGATTCATTTTCATCCATCCTTGCAGGACAGGAGGTGGTATCGCAATATTCGTCGAAAATTCGTGGGAAGCTTCAAAATTAAATTTTATATTTAATGTAGTCTAAGCATGTAGTTTTCTGTGTATAGTTCTTTGAACAGAAGGGTGTGGATTTGGGCTAGTTGGTTGAACATGTTTAGGGGTTAAAAGCGCTAAAACGACGGACAAGTAGGAGAGACACACACCACAGAGCGCTACTTGCAACTGGTTTATTATTGAAAAAAACACACGTACGGCGAAACCAACAAGACACACATCCGATTCAGTTCTAACCGTCGCTAATCACATTTCTTACTCTTGCACCATGCATGATCGTAAAAACGATAACTCTGATTCAAACAGGGCTATCGATGGGGCACTTACACACGTACCCTCGTCACACTCGCAAATAAAAAACGTTTCCGTTATCTCCCTTGTCTTTCTATTTTTGTTTCGTGCCAAGATGACGGTGTTGTCTAAATAGGGTAAACACTCACACCTACTGCAATGCACTGCGAGATTGCCAGAGGGGGCTGACCTCAATGACAGGGCATGTTCCCTCAGTCTTTCGTTCACACATCGCCCCGACTGCCCCACGTATACCCTCCCACAAGACAGAGGAATTCTGTACACTACCCCCACTCTGCACCCTACGTATTTTGTTGCGTGCTTTTTCTGACAAATATCCAACCGTGTGTTACCCCGTTCCACCCTCCCACATTGCTTGCTTAATTTCTGTGGAGCTGAAAGGATAACCGAAATGCCATACTTTTCCCCCACCTTTTTGATGTTATGGCTAAGATTATGTATATACGGTATCACCACTGGTCTTTTATTTGGCTTGCCCCTCTCTTCCCTCTTCCCTACTCCACGAAACTTTTTTAGCAAGCCCTCTACCACCCCCTTAATGATCTCACAGGGAAAGCCTCCCTCCTCCAGCCTCCTCACTTGTAACCCGAAGCTTTCGGCTACGCTGTGCTGACAGGACTTCGTTAAAGCCCCGTTCAGGCAAGTTGTGGCGATCCCCCTCTTGATAATCATGGAGTGGTTCGAGTCATAGGGCAAAACATATTTTTTCGCCCTAGGACAGTAAGTCCAACATACATGCGACGGGAGAAGGGCTAACTTCAGATCCAAAAACTGCAAACCACCCTCCACCGGGTTCTCACTTGTGAAATTCAAGCCCGAGGCGCTAGTTCCGAAAATCTCCAACATGTCTGACACAAACACCGCCCTTTCTGACTCCCCTTTTTTTCCGGAACAGAACAAGGTAGTCGTCCACAAATCTGAATACATGGACGAGTCCTGCCTCCAATCTATTCTTAATGTCCCTATCACACTTTGCTAAGTACAAATCACTTAACACTAGAGCCACACTCGCACCAATACACACACCTTGCTTCTGCACGAGCTGTACGTCTTTAAAAACAATATATGTGGATTCCAAATAAAAGCCTAGCAACTCTAGAAAACCTTCCGCGGCAACCCCACATTGATTTTGTAACTTGACCTCTCCAAACACTTCAATGGCCTCACGAATAGCTACGAAAAGACCGTCATGTGGTAGAGAATAAAACAGGTTTTCAACGTCAAATGATACCGCATCACAGGCACCAGGGTTCGAATGTGTCAGAAACACCACCACACTTTCTGAATTGTTCACCCTGAAAGGATCGTTCAAGTGAAGCTGGGAAAGGTGAAGCTGAAGGTACGATGACATCTGCATCTGCGCCAACAGCCCTAAACGGCATGTCCACTTTATGAGTCTTCACCATGAAGAAAACCTTCAGGTTAAGATCCTTAGCCCGTACGATGGAAGCTTTTAAACTGTCCAGACTCAAGTTCTGGCACAGTTCAACAGCCCTCTTCTTTACCCTTGCGAGGGAAACCTTCTTTGCTTCCTTAAAATTCTTCTCTATTGACTGCTTGCCCTTACTTAAAAAATCCTTCTCAGTAACAAGAACAAACCCGCCCTCCTTGTCTGCTACCAGTAGCTTGAGATGTTCGTTCACACAAAAAGACACAACCTTGCCAACTCTAGGTCCACTGGAGGACACGCCCCCTCTTTTTCGGGGAATGGTATCGACTCCATCTAAAATGCATCTATCTCTCTTAGCTCGATCTACTCTGTCTCCCACATCTCGCACCAGTGTCAAGAGTTCCTGAGGCTTGACGTTTGCTTTACCGACAAACTTGGGTCCTTTCTCTAAAATCCTTACTATATCCTCTGGAGCCTTAGCGTCACCAAGCAGCACCACCTCACACACGCCCCTCTTCATCTTGACGGGCCTCGGTAGCGATGCCCCAGCACCCTTTGCCATAAAAACTCCGTATTCCTTTCGGCTTGGCGTCTTCAATCCCTGAACTTTCATTCCGCCCACCCCCCCATCCTTATAAACCGTACGGCACCAAACCTTCAGACAATCTTGAAGTAGCCTTACTTGCCTCCAGGTTTCTGCACGTAGAATCTTCGTAATCCTTTTCGCATATCCGGTCGATGGCGGTATCTGGAAGAGGTTCAGGACTTCCGATGAGTAGCCCCCGTTCCTTATGGCGTACGCACAGTGTCTCGCCTTGACAGACGTAACAGCGATGGCATTGATGAAGTATATGTCTTGTTGATAACACGGTGAACAGTTAAAAGATGCCCATGTAGAAGAAAGGTATTGCAGAAGGGTTTGGATTTGGGCTAGTTGGTTGAACATGTTTAGGGGTTAAAAGCGCTAAAAACGACGGACGAGTAGGAGAGACACACCACAGAGCGCTACTTGCAACTGGTTTATTATTGGAAAAACCACACGTACCGCGAAACCAACAAGACACACATCCGATTCAGTTCCAACCGTCGCTAATCAGTATGTAACACTATGTCGTGTTCTACAGTGTCAAATGGTTTACTTAGGTCTAAAATAATGTATTCCCAATTATCTTGTCTTTTCCCTCTACGAGTGCTTGCTCCGTGGATTTACCTTTCTGAAATCCATATTGTGATGTGTTAATCACATGACACTCGGATATAAATGGATCTATTCTGCTTTGTATAACGCCCTCAAGTAGTTTATAAAATTTAAGCAAGACCTAAATTGGTCTAAAATTTTGTAAGTATTCTCCGCCCTTTTTGTACAAAGGTGTAACTTTGTCAATTTTAAGTTGCTCAGAAAATATACCCGTTTCTAACATGCAGTTTATGATGTGTGATAGCACGTTCCTAACATCTTGCGAAACGTATTTAATAGGAACTGGTTTAAGGTCGTCGATGCCAGCAGCTACATTTTTTTCTGTTATTAGTGGTACAATTTCCTGTGGGGTGACTGGTGGTAACATTACCGAGTTTGTTAAGGAAATCGTGCTAGCTGTGTCGTAATATGCTTGCGTATCTTCAGTACACTCGCCAACTTTTGCAAAATGCTCGTTCATTGCGTCAGATGACTCCAACCCGCTTACACGCTCGCCATCGAAGATCACAGTTTGTATTTCTGTGGCTTAGTTGTTATTGTTCATGAGGGTATTGACGGCTTCCCGTATTTTTGTGGGCTCATTCTGGACGCGGAAATATAGGCGTTAATAATAATCATGTTTTGTATTTTTCAAATCAGATGTTTGCTTATTTTTGTACTTTTGGTGGGCTGCTAAAAGATCTTGATCTCTGCTTTTGAAAAAATCGTGGCATTTTTTGTTCTTTTATTTGGGCGAATAACTTTTTGGGTTCACCGGGAACAGCGCACCCGCAGAACAGTCATTCAAATCAACATACACACAAAAGAAACACTTACTCAGCGCTGACTGACAACTCTCTATATTTACACTTTCTCTTCTTCTATTTGTGCTATATGCAAGGGCCAGGGAGGAGGAGGAGGAAAGAACATTTATTGTCCGACAGAATTGGCATTCTCCCTCCCCCCTCAGCACCAGGCCGGGGAGGGAGGAGGCACCGCTTTAGATGCTGGTCAGGAGGTCTTGTGTCCCGGCGGCCTCTTCAGCCAGTCGGACGAGGCGCAGCTGGAGCTCAGGGTCCGAACTGCGCAGCAGGATCTCCCAGGATTCTTTAGAAGCGATATTTAGCGCCCTCCCAGGAGAATTTGAGCATTCCCAGATTATATGGTCGAGGGACCCTCTCAACCCGCAGTGTGTACACTCGTCTGATTTTATATCCGGGAACATATGGTTCACCAGGATTGGGTGTGGGTACGTGTATGTTTGCAGTCGTCGCCACGCGACTGCCTGCGTATTATTCAATGACGGGTCTGGTGGGGGTACCAGCCTACGTTCCAATCTGTAATGTTGAGTAATTTCCCCATATTTTACCATGCGTTCACCGCTCCCTTGCCAGAGGGGGTCCTACCAGCCCGGTGGTATAAACCTCGAGCTAGCTCGTGAGCCGCCTCGTTGCCGGGGACGGAGGCATGTGCCGGTGTCCAGATCAACGTAATTTTCCTCGCAATTTGTCGCTGATCGAGAATCTTCGCCGCCGCAGGCGAGATTCTGCCTGCACTAAAATTTTGGATGGCAGTTTTACTGTCGCTTATGATGAAATTAGCTTCCGTGCCGACGCAAGCCAATGCTACTGCAACTTCCTCCGCCACTGCAGCAGAGCGCGTCCTTAAGGAGATTGCCGTAACGGCATTTCCGCGGCCATCGACTACCGCGGCTACCGCTCGTCCGTCGTGGCCACAAGCGGCGTCCACATACGCTAGCTGCTCCGAGGGCAGCTCCCTATACCGGAGACTAATGGCCTCTGCTCTCTTCTCTCTTCTGATCTTATTATGCTCGGGATGCATATTCTTAGGTAAAGGGGGGATGGTTAGCCAGCTTCTGATTCCCTCCTTAATTTCTGCCTTCAGGATTGGGCCCCTGTGCGGATTGATTCCTACTTTAGCCAGGATAGTCCTGCCCGTTTTTGTGGCGCACAATCTCTCAATCTGAGATGTGCGCACCGCTTCCGCCAGTTCCACCCACGTGTTGTGCATCCCGAGCGCCAAAAGTCGCTCCGTGGATGTGCACGTGGGCAGGCCCAGCGCGCGCTTGACGCATCTACGTATTTATCCGTCAATTTTCATCTTTTCTGCCGACTTTAAGTCGAGATAAGGCGTAGAGTAGCTAACTCTGCTGAATATGAAAGCTTGTACCAGCCTCATTAAATTCTTTTCTTTTAATCCTCGCCCTTTGCTCGCAACCCGCCTGATGAGGCTCAGTGTCTGAATCACGTGGCTCCCCAGTCGCTTTAGAGTCTCGCCGCTGTGGCCGTGAGACTGGAGAACTAGGCCGAGAATTCGTATCTGTTCTACTTTTGGGACCTCTGCTCCCGCTACCTGAATTAGAATATCCGACGGTGCCTTACACCGGAAATGCCTAGGGTTGTAGACGAATAGTTCCGATTTTTGTGGCGAACAAGCCAATCCTCGCTCGGCCGCGTACCTCACGATTGTGTCGGTCGCCGCCTGGAGCCTTTGTTCAATTTCCGAGTCACTACCCTGGTTGACCCATAAGGTAATGTTATCAGCGTAGAGGCTGAATTGTACCCCTCGATGCGTGGGGAGCGCGCACATGGCCACGTTAAAGAGGAGGGGTGACAACACCGAGCCCTGGGGCGTGCCCCTGCTGCCGAGCTCAAGAATGGAAGATTCGATAGATTGGAATTTTAAGCAGGCCGTCCTGCCGGAAAGGAAGTTTCGCACGCAATTGAAAGTTTTAGTGCCCACATTTAGATTGCTAAGTCCGGTAAGTATCGCCTCGTGCTTTACGTTGTCGAAGGCTTTCGTCAGGTCTAGCCCTAGGATCACCTTCGCATCCTTAGACCGCGAGTCGACAATGTCGTGTTTAATCTGAAGCATGATATCCTGCGTGCACAGATGAGGGCGGAACCCGATCAGTGTGTGCGGCAAGAGGTCCTGCTTTTCCAGGTATTCGATTAATCTCGTCTGGATGACGTGCTCCATTAGCTTTCCTATGCACAAGGTAAGCGATATGGGCCTGAGATTCCCGAGCTGCGGAGGCTTGCCCGGCTTGGGTATTAAGACGACGTTTGCCGATTTCCATTGCTGCGGCAGCTCGCCTTTGTCCCAGCATTCTTGCATGTACTCCGTTAGGTAACCTATCGAGGTATCATCCAAGTTCCTGAGCATTTTATTTGTAATCCCGTCAGGACCCGGGGCAGACTTTGTGCGGAGCCTAACTAATTCCGCTCTAACTTCCGCTTCAGTGATGGGGGCATCAAGCGCCTCGTTGTGCGCACCATCATAGTCTGGAAGGGAAGTTTGATTGGTCTCACCTACGTAGTTTTCTATTAGTTTCTGCATGAAATCGTCGTCGCCGCCATCAAAAGCCTGTCGAGCTTTGGCGAGTCTGATTCCCGATTGGGTTTTCGAATTTTCCGGGTCGAGCAAATGGCGGAGCATACCCCAAGTTCTAGCGAGGTTCATCTCGCCTTCCATCTGGTCGCACTTGTTGCCCCAATTTTGTTCGCATAATTTAAAGGAGTAATCCTCAATTTCCTTGTTGTGTCGCGCTAACCTTCTCCGGAGGGTGCGGTTCCATTTTTGTGTCCTTAGACGTCTTTCCATGCTTTGCTTAGCCTCCCACATATGCAGGAGGCGGCTATCGGCAATCTCGGAGGCGTCTTCACCTTCTAAGTTTTTGGTAGCCTCCCCGACGTTCGATTTTAGCTGTTCCGCCCATTCCCCGATGTCGCAAATGGGCTTCCCTTCCTGGTTGGATCTGATTGTTCTAAACTGGTCCCATTCGACGGTGGCTGGCGCGCGTGCCCTGCGCGTTTTAAGGCCTTCTTTGAGGAGGGGTACCAGTATGTAGTGGTCGCTCCCAAAATTTAGCTCTGAATTGTGCCATTCGAGGCCGCGGACGTTCTTGGAGAGGGTGAGATCTGGAGACGTATCCACACTAACGCTGTTGCCCACTCGCGTGGGGCTATCAGGGTCAGTGTGTAACGAAAGCCCCTGGTCTTGCATGTCCTCCCACAATTGTCTACCTTTTGGGCACTGATGAGAGTACCCCCAGGCCTGATGACGCGCGTTAAAATCCCCCACAACCACGAGAGGCCGGTTTCCGCTAATCTTGAGAGTTTTGCGGAGCAGGGCTCTGAACCTAACCTTTCTTTGTTTAGGCGAGCTCTATATATTCAACAAAAAGAGGTTGGGTTCCGTTTTTTTGCCCGTTAAAATTTCGACGAAGACGTTCTCGATCTCCCGCAAATCGAGCTCGTGTTCTATCACCGCGATGTTTCGTTTCACAAGTGTCGTGACCGTCGATTTCTCGCCTCGGTCGCTAGGAAACGCCTGACATCCTGACATTTTCGCGGGTAAGGGCCAGGGAGAATAACTGGTCTTTTTTTCTTTTCTTTCGATATGATGCTAAATAGTGAACTAAATTGAAATTAATGTAAAGCTAGGTAGTCTAATTCTTTTTGTGACAAGGTTAAAGACGGAGTACTAACGCATGTGCCGTTATGTTTCGCAATGTTCTCTGCCTCGATTTTTCTTGTGAGCTTGTTATGATGCTTGCCAAGCACGTCGCAGTTACTCAGCTGCACTGAGCACCCACAGTCACGGCAGTGAATCCCTAGATGACCGGAGCTTTTGTTGGTGAATGTGTTGTTATGCTCTCGAAGGCGATCGTTCAGACACCTTCCGGTTTGACCTATGTGCAGCTTTCCACGAGAGAGCGGAAAGGAGTAGACCACCTTTTTTGCACAAGGGACAAAGGTATTCTTGTGCTTCTTTTTGCAGCCAACTGTTGTTATTGGTGGAGTATTTACCTTCTTGCATAAGCTGTGAAGTTTCTAAGGAGCTGAGAAGATGACTTCCAGGTTTACTCGGTTAGCTATTTTCTTCAGTCTGTGGGAAAAATTATGAATATATGGCACAATGATGGGCTTCTTTGTTTTGTCTCTTTGCTTTTGTTGTGTGCAAAAATCTTGCCTGCTTTCGTTGATGAGCTTTTCGGCCACTGATGTTAATAACGAGTTTGGGTATCCTGCGCGCTTTAGTCTTGAGACTTGCCCGTCAAAGCTCGCTGGAATGGAATGCGAGCAGGATTTTTTGAGTGAGTTTTTGAGGCATAACCGCACGATGCTTCTTTTAACGAGTTTTGAATGGGCCGAATTGAATGGTAAGAGCGGTTTTTTTCCCCTGGGCTCATACGACCAGCATAAATGGTAGGGTTACATGAAGAGTCTGAGATCTAGGAATCTTAAAGAGCGCTCGTTTGGAAGTTCATGGGTAATTTGCAAAGGACTCATGCAGATTTTAAAACTGTCGAGGACGTCAGCAACCATGCTGGTGAAGTTGCGATCGTCTGAAGCTAGAACAATTAAATACTCGTCGACGTACCGGAACACTCTTATAACTTTGGAGCTGTCTAATGATACTTTTATCTTCCTGTCGTTGTGCGCTAGATAGAGATCGCTAAGGATAGGGGCAATGCAGGACCCGATGCACACACCTCTCTTCTGTAGGTATGGCTGGTAATCCCAGGTAGCAAAGGTCGACCTGAGGTAGATGTTAATCAAGGTCAAAAACTTGCTTTCGGAAAAGCCCGACTCATTTTGAAAGGCAATAGCACCGAAGGTGTCTATGCTGTCCTCTATGTACCTTAGGAGGCGGTCGTGGGGCAAGGAATAATACAGATCCTTAATGTGGATGGAGAACACCTTTAGGTCTTGGTCACGATGCTCTTCTAAAAAGTTGAAAACTTCAGAGGAGCTGCTGATCAGGTATGGATCATCAATGTTAAGTAGGTTTAGCCGTGTTTGCAGAAATAAGGCAACAGACTTTTGCCATGTCCCCCTTTCAGAAACGATAACCCGGAGGGGGCAATCCGCTTTGTGAGTTTTGGCGCTGAAAAATAATTCTAGACTCAGTTTTTTACTGCGATCGACGTAGGAGCAGAGTTGTTTTAAATCGTTCAAGTGACAAAATTGTTTTGCTTTCCTTTTAACTTTTTCCAGGGAGATCTCAGAGCGCTTGCTGAAAACGGATTTGACTGCTGTTAATGCTTTTTCTCCAAACGTGTCCGAATGCATGAGGACAAAACCTCCTTCTTTGTCAGCGGGCAGAAGATATAATGAATTCTCTTTCAGGTACGTTTCTACTCTCTTGATGGACAGAGGAGTAGATGGTGGTTTGTACTGCATAAGCATGTCTACACCTTCAGAGGTGCAGCGATCCATTTCGGTCTCCGGAGCTCGTCTCGAGACTTCCCTCACAAGGGAAAGTAAATCCGGTGCCGTCTTCTTAGGTTTTACGGCAAACTTAGGGCCCAGACTGAGAACTTGCTGTACTGCGTTTGGTATGTGGATGTCTCTTATTGTGCATACGGGGTTATTCAACGCCTGTTCTTCCCTTGGTCTGTTCTTACGGAGATGCCACAAAGTGAGTTTCCACAGATGGTCGGTCGTTCTCTTTGTGAGGGAGGCGATTTCTCGCCTGGCCCTTCTGCTGAAGGTATTTGTCGGGTTTGTTCGCAGCTGCATAAATAGGTAGTTCCGGTAGTGCCGTGTTTGACGATGCCACTCGGCTTGAAGGATTTTGCAAATTCGCTTTCCATGACCTACGAATGGTATGAAGTTTCCGAATAAGGCCTTGACCTCCGGAGGCAGCATGTGCACTCGTAGACAATACCCGTAACTTCTTGCTTGACACACGCAGATGTGTCTTGCTTGACACACGCAGGCGGGCGCTCAAAATTTTCTTCAGCCTGGCAGAAGATTCCCCCTCTTTTATTTTTTCCTCCTCCCCTTTCCTCCTCCATTTTCCTCCTCGCTTTTTCCGGCCTTCTCGCACGAGCGCTAATGGGCTTACCGGCCCCCCGACAAAATCTCTGTAACCGTTCAAGGTTCTCTGCTTCAATCCCAAACACAAGGGATTAGTTAGGCAGGCTGGATATGAGCTCGGAAAGGTTCGGGCTGGCTCGCTTTTCGCCTTTTTTTTTTTTACTCTTTGTGCAGCTCTAAAAGTCAACACCAACTAGCCCAACAACAAGTTCTTTTACATTCAGATACTTCCGCATGCGGCCACATACGCTACAACACCGCATATTTATCTCGAGTGAGCGGAACTTGAACATCACAGCAGAAGGGAAAAAAATGGGTATTTTTATCTGAACTTTGAGCTCTACCCAGAGAGTTGAAAATTGGTCGTGCTAACAACGGCAGACTGAGGAGTGATTGTATCACTATTGTGTTTTTGTTTTTTGTACAAAGTAATATTCATGAGTAATTACAAGTCAAAGATATTGCAGTCAGAGGGACACAGTCTGACCATTTCTGCTGCATAATATATAGGTTTGTACCACAGGTGTTTTCTAAAGTGACGGCCGCCTCGTTGAAGCTACTAAGAAGAGTAAAAGCAAATTTCCGTAAAAAGTGAAACGGTTTATGGTATATTTAATCAATCTTCAGCCTTTAAAAAGAAAGAATTTATTTGTGGCCAAACGTGCATTTACTTTCTGTCAACAAATGTAACTGAAAACTCGACAGCCGACAAACATCTTGCGTATCAGCAAAGAGAACGGGAAACACGGAGATTGAACCGCAAAATCACAATTTTCTTCGCGTAAAATAGTGCAACTAGCAATAGTAGCATATCATGCCATTTATTAAAAGACAGCAGGTATTACGAAGTTTTCATTCACTTCTGTTCCCATTTGTTCGCTGATTAAGAAATGGAATGCCCAGATAGCCTCTGCAGCCCTAGCATCATAATTGTTCGGGGCTCTGTCAGGGTAGGCAAAGGCCAGCGACCATCTAAAAGAAAACAAAAAAAACAACAGGAGTTTGGAAGGTGTACTACCGCAAGTTTTGGGGCTGCTTGGCTAATTTAGGCGCCTGGCGTTCCCCGCCTACTTAGAAAAGAAGCCGCACAGCGGCCAGCTCAACGTCGTCACCAAGCGGGAAATCATGCCGAAATGTGTCCTTGAACCAGTGTTGCGGAGTTGCCACTCCGGAGTTGGAATGATTCCGGAATCATTCCGCATTTTCGCGAGCCCGGAATAGAATGGGAATGGAATGGCGGCAACGGTGAGGGGAATGGAATGGGAATGGAATTAGATGCCTTTTGCCCGGAATGGAATGGGAATGGAATGGGCCAGGTTATTTATATTTTATTTATTTATTTATTTATTTATTTATTTATTACGTTCAGCTATACCGAGCCAGTCAGGGAGTCGGTTGTTCAGAAATAAAATGAGCAGGAAACTGCGAACCCGCGTAACGCCCAACCAGATTTATGCGCAAAAGAAAAAAATGCAATACAAAACACAAGCGTCAAAGCAAAGAACAGAGGGGGGAGGGGGGGGGGGGGAGGCGGCGGTGGCGCCTTTCATCAGTGAAGTTCGACACATATCCGAATGCGTCTGCGCCTGTAATATTGCACGGCTGGTACGTCATCAGCCGACGTGAACGTGACCTGCTGCTCTGGTGATCCGATACCCAGGAAGGAGGCCAGACGTGGTCTCGCTGTGCGGACCCAGACTTCGTACACTTTCGAATCGTCTCGAGCGCGCTGTTCCTCGAAGAGCTCGCACCTGTGCCGGCAATATCAGGTCTCATTCCACGAGGTCTCTGTTTGAATGATGCTAGGCGAAACTTGAAGACTGCCCTTCGTGCGATGGAGGCTTAGAGTCGGCAAGAAGGACCGTCACAACAGGGATGCCACCGTATCGATTTTTCAACCGTAACAGAAGATAATACATGTGCTTTAGGATGCTTCAGGTGGTCCACTTTTCTCGAAAATTCCAAATGCAACTGCCTGCATGGTCTTCAACGAGGTCCGCTACAACGAAAGTATGTATTGTCCTTTCATACAGCAGCGTGGGTAAAGTTTCATGTTCAAGGCAACACCTACAGATTCAAGAATAATAGTTCATCCCACCGTGACGTCATGATATCAGTGCTAACAGGGGCGCGTTTTGATGGAATTTATTTTAGAGGTCGAAGTCTTTTCGCATCACT